GGAGTGGATGTTGTTTATGGAAACATTCGTTAACATTTCAAATGTCCTGATTATGGTTACAGCTCCAATATAGCATCACTTTTTAAGACTGCCACCACAATAAATCATTGTAAAATACACTTCTGAAATATTTGCTAATGACATTGTTGTTGTTGTTGTTGTTGTTGTTGTTGTTGTTGTTGTTGTCAGAGCTGTTGAATACATCACCGTCACCTTTATGGATTTATTGCCTCATCCCTAAACTTCTTACTGATGGCACAGTCCATAATAACTCTGTAGTGTCCCATTAGGAGGACGAGGACTGATTGACATTTTATGGGATTATTTCCATGAAAAGCCTCTTATGCCATTCAGGTAATCCATAAATAAACCCTTATTAATTAAAGCACAATCAGTTCAGAAAAAAAGATAGAAAATGTATGTCTGTGAGGGTTTTCAGAAACCCCTTGAACTATGGAGATTTAAAACCCCTTTATATACATCAATTATTGCATTTTTAAATAGTACACCTGAAACTTCAAAGTGTAGTTACCTGCAATGTTGTTTGGTTCATTTACAGGTTTTGACACTTTGTTTTTACTTGAATGTTGTTGTTAAAATGTTAAGACTTAGTTAGACTCTTAGAGATTGTTTAACTGAAAGCAAGATAAAAGCCTTTATCATGCTAGTTAACGGTTTAATATGTTATATCTATCACCTGCAGAGTCAGTTTAATAGCTAGCAGACTAAAACACTGCAAATAATGTCAATAAAAACAAAAGGTGAACAAAAATACCTTTGAAATAGCTCATCTGGGCTCACATGGACTTATGTTTCACAGTGTTCTCCTTGTTCATGGTGGAAATCCAGTTGTAAAGCGATGGTGGAAATGTGGAAAAACACAAGTTGGAATCGACGCAAACAATTTTTGTTATGAAACTACATAAACACACTCATCGCTCACATCCTGTGTGACGTACCTCAGGCGGGATTTGAACAAGCGTGTCCTTCTTGTTGGATGGTGTTGCTCACCAGTGGACCATCTTTGGCTCAATTTCCCCTACAAATCCTTAAAATGAAGGTCATATTGAAGCTGCGGAAACTTCCCCTTCATCAACTTGCAGAGAAATAGACAATTGTGGACTTTAGACTGAAAGCTATTCAAATTGAAACCTGTTCAACCTGACAATGTCTGTTGTTCAAATGATTTAACAGTGCAGGGATGGGTGAGTTAAATAGCTCAGCTGGTAAAGAGGGTGCTTCATAATTTGAGGTATCTGAGTTCAAATCCCTCCTGAACTCTTTGTGTTTTCCTCCTGTCAATCCTCAGAGGATTGTTTAATCAAGTTGAGTCTTCAAGCCTTTCTTCAGTTACCCTCAAAACTCTGCGTACACACAGCTAAAGAAAGACTGAATTGACCAAAATGTCTCAGAGGGAACAAATCAGTCAAAACTGAACAAAAGGTCTGGAAGTGATATTTGCTTTTTCGTCTTTTATGATGAGGAGTAAAGCACTTTGTCAACTTTGACTCATGAAGTGACTCATATCTCAGCTGAACTGCAGGGGAGTATAACCTGCCAGCAGCTTCTGATGATGGACTGACGTTTAGAGAAGACTTTATTTTTCAGATGTCAGAAAGATGCCTTACAAGTTGGTTGGTTCAAATCCCACTGGAAGACTTCATTCAACTATACATCAACACTCACAGGGCCATTTTATTACGATGATTCCATTTCAAAAAGAAAAAAATGAAATGCAGGTGTATGGTTGATTATTACCTTTTGACATTTTATTGTGACAGTTTAAAGATTGATAGTTCACTCAGGAGAGACGTGATGTATGGAATACATGTTTATTATCGGGTCACATTATATAAATGAACATAATGATNTCATGGAAAATGATGTCTCAGGAATGTAGGGTTTGGGTATTATGGCAGGTTTAAAAGAAAATATGAAGGCAAAATTAAATCTGACAGCTAGAGTGGAGGACAGATTTAATTTTGCCTTCATATTTTCTTTTAAACCTGCCATAATACCCAAACCCTACATTCCTGAGACATCATTTTCCATGACAAATGTAGGAAAACATCTCGTAGCTTGAAAGATAAAAAAAAGCAAAATAATTAAACAAAAATGCCTCTTGAGGGCATGAAGTGACAAAAACGTTCAACATGTCTCCATTAAACCCCATTGTAAATTCAGCCTCACCTCTCCC